ACCAATTGGAAACTGAACTTCACCCTTAAGTGTGCACACCCCCTAAAAGGGATTCCAAGCCCTCCGAGTAGTAAGAAGTCCAAGTAGTTCGGACAACGTCCCCCTACCTCACAATATAATGGGTTAGAAACCCGGGTGATTAGAAACTACTACCGCGGCCACCAAAGAACTTTTAAAGTTCTCAAAAGAAATACCGGGAATCTCCCGCCACCAATATTTACCGGGATTTCTCCCGCCACCAATAATCATCATAAACCTAAACTAAACCCGCGGTATATAGCTCTAACCACCCGCACCTCGTTTTTCTCTCGAGATGTCAATAATCATTATAAAAACATTATTTGATGGAGTAATGGGACTAGGCCCAGAGCCTAATCAGCCCAAGCCTCGAACTTGGACTCATGGATCCAAGTCCACAACCTGGAGCCTGCTTGCCAGCCCAACGGGGAGCCTGCCAGTCCGGCCGACCTCCCAGCCCGGAAGAGTAACGGTCAAACAATTAATGCACTATTAATTATGTATTTAATTTCGTATTAATGTTGTAATTAATTAGTCATTATTATCGGTAACAGTTACGATTTGTATACGCCTATAAAAGGCGGGTTGTAATTCAGATTAGGAACGAATTCTATATGCTATTTCTGCCTAACTTCCCATATTCGTACTTTCTTGATTCTTGCTTGAGTGTCGTACGTAGCTTTCCTAAAAGCCTACGAGCGTCCTATTTTGGACCAACATTGGTGCTTTCATTGAGAGTCTCTATTGTCTCTCCCATCACTCTAGTAGGAAATTTCAAAAAAATTGGTGAAGATCGAAGGTTTCTAGCAATTTTTCATGTCTCTTACTCACAATCTTGAAAATCTAGCAAAAACTTTTCTTTAAATTCAGCAAAAAAGAAAGAAAAAAAACTGGATTTGTCAAGATCTACGCCGGGGATGCCGGAGCCGTGCGCCACTGCTCGCTGCCGCGGAGCAGCCGCTAGGCGCCGTGAGCTGAAGCTTGTCTATGTTACCCCGGAGGGTTCAAATATGGGACTTTACTCAACAAGAGCTGATGTCGTCATCCTGACCACCACCGCGCCCTGACATGCCTACCGCAGCCCAGGACCTCTCACCGATGTTGAAGGATCGCCGTCTTGGTCCCACCGTCTTCGTTCCAGATACGGCCGCTCTGGATCTCACCAAGACGCTGCTACAGCCCGTAGCCGTCTTCGTCGGAAAGGCCGAAGTTGCGGCCCCGTCAGCCGTCGAACGCATCCCAACGCTGATGTTCAGGTCTTCAGGCGAGAGTGCAAATGGAGATGGAGCCGGGAGTGCAACAGGAGATGGTCGGCCAGGGTATCTTCACGGCTTGCGACCCGCAGACCAGGAAAATCCAAAGAATACCAGGGGATGACCGTTAAAGGTATCCGAAGGCCTTTCTAATGGCAGCGACGATAGACAACTTCCATTCCGCCTGTGCTGCGATTGTTCTCAGCCTCTTAGACGGCCAAAGGACCCCCTCTCCAGAAGTCTCTGCCAGCCAGAAACTTGGCACAGCCGCAGAGGGTTAGGCGAACTGCTCAGTTTGCTAGGTTGATTTTTTGGGCCTTGAGTGATTATGGGCCATGTCCATCTGAACTGATTTCTCTTTTGGATCGAGCTTCCAAACAAGAAAAGCTAAGTATACTCAGTACTACATCATTATTGATCAAAAAATTATAAAATGATTCAATAAAAAAACACAAATTTAATCATTTGAAAAGATATTTTAAGTGGTGTAATTGCTTTAACTCTTGTTGAGCGTGTGTAATTTTAACATTGAAAAATGGACTTATGAAATCCGATCACTCACGTACACCGGACGAGCACACACACTCGTACACTGGTCGAGCACACACACTCGCGCCACCGGGTCACGTCATACGGGTGTGACGATTAATAAGCTCCAATATCAATGTTAATACTGCACACTTTTGACTTCATACGAGTTCTCGCGTTCTCTTACCTCTTCCTAGTGCATCACACTCCGACCTCGGGGGACGAGTCACCCGTTCAAAAGTTTTTACTTGCGTGTTCGAACTACTAACCTCGGACGGCAAGTTAAACTCTTGTTAGGGGCCTAGAGCCACGCTCATCCGAGCAATTTTGTCACTTAATTGACATTCACATTTCTTGAAAAGGTTGATATACTTTAGTTCTTTGGGGTTGGATTATCCGTTCGAGTGAGGAGTCCGCCTCACTTACTCGTGGATTCAATTTTTCTTTCGGAGACTGGGTTGAGGCCTAACTTGGGAACTTGATGTCACTCTTTTCAAATAGTGAGTCCGACTCACTTACACATCGAGTCATGGTTCGACACCAGGCTAGATGCTCTATTCTATACTAGTTTCTTTTATGTGTAGGTACAACTGAATGAAGTGGAGGACTGAGGGTCTTACCGTCTTCAAGGAAGCAAATGACAAACCTGACGAGTCTGAGTCCGACGAGAAGAACAGTTCTAGCCATCCTATTCGCGGATGGCGACCATTGCAATAAAGGCTGAGGATCTCACCTCTTGCTTCATCTTGGGGGCGTCAGATGTACTCTTTTTCCCTTCATTATGATTTTTTCCTATTGGGTTTTTTCCTAATGAAGGTTTTTAATGAGGCATCTCCCCAACATGGATAAGGGCGGGGATCTTCTAGTCTCGGAGAAGATCAACCGACTCGGACTACTCCCTCTTAGCCGAGTCTACTACTCGACTAAGGGAGTGGGGGACTCGTGATGGAGTAATGGGACTAGGCCCAGAGCCTAATCAGCCCAAGCCTCGAACTTGGACTCACGGATCCAAGTCCACAACCTGGAGTCTGCTTGCCAGCCCAACGGGGAGCCTGCCAGTCCGGCCGACCTCCCAGCCCGGAAGAGTAACGGTCAAACAATTAATGCACTATTAATTATGTATTTAATTTCGTATTAATGTTGTAATTAATTAGTCATTATTATCGGTAACAGTTACGATTTGTATACGCCTATAAAAGGCGGGTTGTAATTCAGATTAGGAACGAATTCTATATGCTATTTCTGGATACCAAATCCCCTTTGCAACTTTCCTTATTCATATTACTTTCTTGATTCCCGCTTGAGTGTCGTACGTAGCTTTCCTAAAAGTCTACGAGCGTCCTATTTTGGACCAACATTATTCATTCTTGGAAAATCATTTCTCTATACATAGTCTTCCAAAATATCCATTTAATGGATACGTCCACCAAAAATCCACATTCATAAATACTCCAAAATTGTATTACATAAAGATTCACTCCAAAGTCATACTAGGGATTAAATCCCAAAATATATCTCCAATATTTCACAAATTCTTAGTCGCCCAAAATAGTACACATTTAAAATTCACACTTAATCACATAATGCATAATAAGCATATAATACGAGGAAACAATTTTGGATTGGCAGAGAAACTTACAGTAGGTCCTGATGCTCCTAATTCCCTTCCTCAATTCCGGTCTCTAAATATTCACCTTTTTAATTAAGATGGTATAATTAGTCACTTATTCAATAGTTTATCCAATTTTCCCCTTTTTATTTCCTTATTCGAATTTATTAATTTAATTAATTAATTACCCGAATTAATCACTTTTTTTTAATCAAAATACCTTACTAATTCAGCCTTTAATTATAATATCAAATTTCAAAATTACCTTAATTTATATTAATCAACATTATTAGTAAATCCGAAGATTATAATAATTATTTAAATTAGCTAATCGTCATTAACTTAATCTGATTTTATTTCTTACCCAAACACTTTATTAATTATGTTAATTTTATTACTCTATTTCAATTAATCCCATAATTAGTGACAATAATATCTAACAAATTTTATTTAATCTACTCATGTTACTAAGTCCAATTAAGTAATTATTATTTTAATACAATATTCGATTATCAGTTTTTATTAATTAAACCATTAATCCCTTTTTATTATTTACATTATGTAATTATACTAAATAATAATTAACAAATTTATCCAAGTGATTACTATCAATTAATCAAGCCAATTTCATCATTAATATTTCTCATGTCAAACTTATCAATTTTGCAGATTATTATTATTATTATTATTATTATTATTACTACAATAATAATAAATTTTACGGCCCATATAAAATAACCAGCCCGTGAAAATAACCCAACCCAATCTATCAGCTAAAAGAAGGGATACAGGAGACTTTATAAACTACGTACAGTCCGTCGTCCTTAATGCGGTACCGGCGGCGATGCAAGGCTTTAGTCTCCGGTGGTGACCAGTCGGCTCAGGCGGCGGCAAGACTTCCTTGAAGATGGCGGCACACGATGGCTTCCCGGTCGAGCGACGACGGCAGCAGCAAATTGGTCTGGCGGCAACAACTTCTTCTTCTCCGGCGTGGAACTACAGCTTTCCGGCGCTTCTTTTCTTCTAAATACTTCGTTTGGACCCTTAGCTTCCTTACTCCTAGAGACTATATATTTGGTGTTTAAACGTTTGTTTGGCTTTCCTTGGTGCAGAACATTTTCGCCGGACAAGGCATATATATATATATACACTCTGTATATACGTAGAGGCTTGCCCGTTGGTTTCTGATTATCCATTTTTTTTAGCTTCTTAATTATCCTTTTATTGATCATAATAATCAACTTATTATTCTCCAGCCCGTTGGTTGATCGGTTATACGTTATATTTATATATTTGTTATGTTATGTCACTACGTGAGCGAAGTGAAAATTATAAGGGCTTCTATAAGGGATTGCTGGTTATACTCGATGTCCCTTATTAATTCCTTCTAGCTAAAATGAAATAACAAAAACGTATAAGGATGCTATAAGGGAAATAAGCCTTAACGGGTCAAAGCCTGACGTGTTAAAATGTATAAGGGAAAAATAAGGAAAAATTGAATAGGTATGGCCCCACTAACCGACCAGCTAACCAACAACTCGGCCACCTACACAAGTCAGTCATTAATATTTAAATAAATGCAAACAACACATAAATGTACCAATCCAATGCTCTGTATTTTATACTCGTTACTTTACCAGCGCCATTTGCCGAAGCATTTCATCACTCAGCTTACATATATATGATCTAATATGTTCTCTGGAGTCTCCGAAAGAAACGATGCTTGAACCAGGTACGAAATTTATTCTCAATGTAGTTGTTTTTACAGAAAAATTAGGACGTAAATTTATTATTTACGCTATACACATATATACTAATTAAGAAGCTTATAGATCCAAATGTTATTTATGTTATTTTGATTTGTGTTAAAAATAAATGTGAAATGTTTAGTCATTAGGTATTTTTCTCATCGCATTTTGATGAATTTTTACAATTCAAAATTATTACTCCATAGGAATTTTGTGTGAACGTATTTGAATTGATTAGATTATAATTATATATCCATGTAGCATTAATCTTTGAACTTTTGCATATTATGGATGTGTTATGATTTATTAAGGAAAATTGTGATTTTTTTTCCGATGAATAGGTAAATTGTAAAATGGCAGAAGGTCGTGAATGGATGTATAATCGTATTAGTCGGACTTCGGGTAATCTAAATTTAGAGTTTGTAGACGGTGTAAATCATTTTTTGGACTTCGCTTTTACAATAGCTCAACGGAATGGAGAAAGTATGGTGAAATGTCCATGTACAAAGTGCAAGCTAAGAAAGTACTTCGATAGAGGTATAATTAGAACACATTTGTGTAAGAATGGGTTTAGAGAAAAGTATTACATATGGGATTGCCATGGGGAAGAACGTCCTATAAATCCTATTATTTATCGAGGGTATACACCTATTAATGTGGACTCATTTGAAAGCGCAACAACCATTGATAAATGTGATGAGCCAAATCACGTTTTAGGATGTACACAAATGGTTAGAGAGGTTATGTATCCATTCTCTATTGGAACTGCAAATGATGAAAATGATTTTAATACGTTTGGGTTGGATGACGATGAAGAAACTCGTTTTGAGACTAACGAGACTCAAAACCCAAATAAGAATGCAGAGGAGTTTTACAAACTGTTAAAAGATGCATCTACTCCATTATATGATGGTTGCACTAGTCATACTCGATTATCTGTTGTGGCTGAGCTTTTAAGTGTTAAGAGTCAGTATAACATGTCTGATGCATGTTATGACAAAGTAGCTTCAATTGTTGAACGGATTGTGCCTGGTGATAACAATTTGCCAAATAACTTTTATCAGTCCAAAAAGATGATCCATGGATTGGGGCTACCATATTTCAAAATAGATGCATGCGAGAATAATTGCATGCTATTTGATGGGAATGATAAAGATCTCATGTACTGCAAAGTTTGTGGTGTATGCAGGTACGAAGAGGGTTCTATAGACCGAGGAGGTAAAAGGAAACCACCATCAAAAAAAGTGTTGCGTTACCTACCAATAACAGAGCGGTTGAAGCGCATGTACATGTCCTCTAAAACATCAGAATTTATGACTTGGCATATGAGAGGGGCTTCTGGCGGTGGTAGTACTATTTCACATCCTTGCCAATCAGAGGCATGGAAACATGTTGATCAAACATTTCCGGATTTTGCCACGGAGTCCAGAAATGTGCGTTTAGGTCTATGCACAGATGGGTTTAATCCAAATTCTGATTTCAGCAACCCATACTCTATTTGGCCCATGTTCATTGCTGTGTATAATTTACCTCCTGAACTTTGCATGAAAGAACCATATATTTTCATGGCCATGCTGATACCTGGTCCTCGATCCCCTGGAAGGAACATTGACGTTTTCTTAAGGCCACTTATCGATGAGCTAAATATGATATGGAATGTTGGGGTTGAAACATGGGATGCATTTCGAAAACAAAATTTTGTGCTTAGAGCTTGCCTTATTTGGACAATCAGTGATTTTCCGGCATATGGAATGTTATCAGGATGGAGCACCCATGGTAGATTAGCATGTCCATACTGTTTGGGTGAAGGAGTTGCCCAACAACTTAAGTTCGGAAAGAAGCCGTGTTGGTGGGGTTGTCACAGGAGGTTTCTAAGAGCACAACATGGTTTTCGTCGTGATTCACAATCCTGGGGAGTATTTGGTGTTGAACGTCGTAGACCTTGTCCGATTGTTTCAGGCGCTGAAATATTGAGAGACATTGAGAGTATTAGTTTTCCACCATTTGGGTTACAATATGATAACTTGCGTGCAGATGGATTCGGTAGAACTCACAATTGGATTAAAAGATCTATTTTTTGGGATCTACCTTATTGGAAGGATTTGCTTGTCCGACATAATCTTGATGTCATGCATATAGAGAAGAACTGCTTTGATAATGTCTTCAACACAGTTATGAATGTGAAGGGGAGAACTAAGGATAATTCTAATTCGAGGCGTGATATGGAGCTTATGAGTATCCGTAAGGAGTTGCACTTGTATCAACGCAATATGATCACTTATCAACCAAAAGCAAGTTATGTGTTAGATAAGCCAAATGTTGTCAATATATGTAATTGGTTGAAGGAAGAAGTGAAACTTCCTGATGGATATTCATCAAACATTGGACATTGTGTTAATACAACTAACAACACATTTTATAGCATGAAGAGTCATGATTGTCATGTGTTTATGCAGCGTCTACTTCCGATTGCATTGCGTGGTTATCTTCGGTCACCTCTATGGATAGCAATATCTGAGTTTTGCAAATTTTTCAGGATAATTTGTGCAAAGCAACTGTGTGTTGCAGACATTGAGAAACTACAAGATGCAATTGCAGTTACACTGTGTAAACTAGAAAAGGTTTTTCCTCCTAGTTTCTTTGACTCGATGGAGCATTTGACAGTCCATCTACCATGGGAGTTGAAAACTTGTGGACCAGTGCAGTACCGTTGGATGTATCCGTTTGAGCGTCTGATGAAAAAGTTAAAGGAAAAAGCAAAAAATAAACAATTTCTCGAGGGATCCATTGTTGAAAAATTTTGGGTTCATGAGGTAGCCTTATTCTGTGAGCATTACTTTGATGACAACTTAGGCACTCGCATTAACCCTCACGTTAGGAATGAAGTTGGGGCTAATATGTTAGTCATAGGGGAAGCTTCAAATGATTTTGAATTGTTGTCTATTTTCAAACACCCGGTCAGAAATTTCAGCCGCGTGAACAACCGTGTGTTGACAAATGAAGAATTGCATCATGTTCATAGCTATGTTTTGTTTAATACTCCAGAAGTGCAACAATATATCACGTATGTCTATAATTTTATCATATGTCTATATTGTATAAGCAAAAATTAATTATAATGTTATTCGTTACAGTCATTTTGAGAATCTTACACGACAGTCATCCCCAAGGCTGAATGATTCCGATGTTGATAAACATAGAATGACACATTTTGCTACGTGGTTTGAGTTAATGGTAAGCTTCCTTAAATATTAGTAATACCTAAAGGCTATAGCATTACTTCTAATTTTATTTTATTTTTATAAACTGATGTGTAGGTGAAGGACTCTCCTCAAAATTTCACATCACAACTCATTGAGCTTTCTGAGTGGCCAAAGAATAAGGCAAAATCATACGGGGGATCATATGTTAATGGCTACACTTGATAAAACTGAATAATAACTATTTCTCTAATACACTTGATATCTAATTAACAAGTATTTAAATTGCAGGAGATAGAAATCGGTCGCAAACCCACATTTTTAGATTTTGCTGAAAAGTGGGTTCTGGATGACACTAGCACAAATGAGCCAGTCCCAACATCATTTGCGGGGTATATGGTATGATTGATATAACGAAATATGACATTGTTTTATTCTAATTTTTTTTATGTAAATGATTATTTTACATTGGTGAAAGCAATTAGATTGAACAACTTATAAGTTCATACTACGTAAATAAACAAACTATGGCATTGATATATTTGTTTGTAACCTCCTTTATTGTAGGTAGCATATCGTCAACGAATGGAAGAAGCGTATGGACCGGATAGAACAAAACATCCTGCTTTTGATTCTCACATGTGGAAAGAGATTACCGGTGATCCAAAAAAAGGGCGTTGGGTCGGCGTACCGGCCCAACTTTCACATCCCGAACTATTTCAACCTTCTAAACCTCTTGAGGTACTTCTTAAATGATGCCCTACTTATTAAAGACTTCAAAGTTTTATGATAATATTTGCCAATACTGTAGGATACATATAGACTCTTGAGTGGCCGTATTGTTGAAATGGAGGCTGAAATTGAGACGATGGGGGTAGGGATGGCAGAGCTCAAGGCACAAAATGAAACAATGAGGCTTGAAAATATAGAACAACGAACAAGCTTCACAACTGCCATGAGTAATATATGGGCCATTCTTATCAATATGGGTGTGGCCAATCCAAACATGATTAATCATCAATTTCTTCCGGGGGGTTCATCATCTAATCAGTGCCCACCATCACTATTAGCACAACGAAAATACAACCCATTGCCATCCATCGGACAACATCAACAACCGAGATCATTTGGGCAACTTTTGGAGATGAATTACACTCAAGCGCATTTATTTGACCAACCTTCTCCATTTGCTGTTTGATGCACACTAATTAGTAGTGCATAATTACATGTTTTTATGAGTGATTTATGTTAATTGTTTGACGTTTTATTTAGTTTGTAAACATTTATGTGATTTCAAGTTGTAATTGTATTTTAGTCTATTTGTGTCAGTTGTAAAGTTTAGTTAGGATTTATGGTTTGGAAAGGAAGACTTTGAAGTGAAGAAAAAGAAGATTTGGCTGCCCAGGAGCAAACACCCGACCGGGTATAATACTTGACCCGGTCGGGTAAGAAGTGAAAAACGAAAATGCAAAGAAAGTGCATGGCCCGGTCGGGCCCACTACCTCACCCGGTCGGGTGAGAAGTGACCGGGGACAACCCGGTGTGCAAAGATCACCCGAACGTGTAGAAAATCCAATTTTTGCACTCACCCGGTCGGGTCCCATACCCGACCCGGTCGGGTCAGACATGACCCGGAACACCAGAACATGCTGAAGATCACAAAGATTTTGAAAAAATCTGATTTAGACCAAACCCGGTCGGGTCCCTCACTTGACCCGGTCGGGTCTGACTTGACCCGGACAAATTAACGTGCTGGAACAATGAAACGTGGGAGATTATCTGATTTTGACCGGTACCCGGTCGGGTGTGTACCTATACCCGGTCGGGTACCCGGCCAAAGGTGTTGAAAAACACCTATAAATAGCACTCTTTTTCTCCTCTTAAAATCATCCCTTCTTCCATACTCTTTAGCTCAGTTTAGAATAGCATTTCTTTATATTTTTCTAGCTATGTTTAGTCTCCAAATGAGGAGCTAAACTTCCATTCTTGGTGTTGCTCTTGAAGCTTGTTGATTATTAAAGTTGTGAGTTATTTTCTTAACTTCTTTCCTTGAATATTAATTAATAGTTCTTTCCTTAATATCATCTCTATATTAATGTTGAGGAGTGTTGCTAAGATGACAATTAGTTAACATCTCGACATTAGTTAGAATGGTATTTTCTTCCTCTATATTAATATTGAGGAGTGTTGCTAAGATGACAATTAGTTAACATCTTGATATTAATTATAGTAGGATACATCTTCTTTAATAATATTCTTCCTTGAATATTAATTAATCCCTACTCATATTTCATATTAATATTTTGAACATTACTTAAAGGATCAACTAGTTTTGTTTCATATATTAATTATTACTAGAAACGATCAACGAACCGATGGTTAATCGTTGATGGTTTCACAAGTAAGTAACTTCGGTTTATTAATGCACGGTCGTGGTTAATAAACTTATGAGGGATTAATTCTGTTGGTTAAACCGAAACCGCTTGTGTTGAGGTTATCAATCTCAATTGATTTCATCAATGAGTTAGAAAGATTAAATGCTACTATTAAATCGGTATAAGGCGTTGTTCTATATTTGATTAATAGTAAGGGTTATTAATGAACGGTCGTTGTTAATAACTACCCTCGATGAAGTGGATATACTCCCCGATTGAGTATTCGAGAGGGAATAAGTTATAGATATAACAATGATCGACTAAAATATATCAACAAGTGGAAAGTAGCAATGCCAAGTCCTTTTTATCTTTGAATTAAACACTTATAGGTTGTTCATCTTAGTTCTTAATTAAATTAAATCACTCAACCCAAATCCCCCCTTTTTATTTACTAAGTATCATAAAAAGAGAATTATTCCTTTCCCTGTGGATACGAACTCTACTACGCTATACTACGTATAAGTGTTAGTATTGAAAATTATTTTGACGCACCGTGACAAAGTGCTCGTCAAATTTGGCGCCGTTGCCGGGGATAGGCAATTAATTTTTCTTTTTATTTTATTTCAAGAAAAATAAAAAAAAAATTATATATAAAGATTTCTATTTTGGCTGAGCTTTGTTTGAGTATATGGTTAAACACCGATCTATTAACCAAATCACCTACCAAACAAAGCCCGAAACAGAACAAGCCTTCGAGAGGTTCAGGAATCTATTTCCGAATACTTCTTCGGAGGAATCATCAAGTGCTAGTTCTCATTCTAGCGAATCCGAAGAGTCCTGCCACATGGCTCTGGAGACAAGAACGTTGAGGGAGCTCACGGCTCCGAATCTAAATCAACAACCCTTATGTATCACTTTTCCAACTCTTGATACGGGGGTCACATTCGAGCTAAAATCTGGGCTCATTCATCTACTTCCCTCTTTCCATGGCTTACGAGGGGAAGATCCAAATAAACACCTGTCGGAGTTCCATATTGTGTGAACAAGCATGTGCCCTAATGGCGTGTCCGAGGAGCAAATCAAGCTGAGAGCGTTCCCATTCTCTCTCAAAGACACCGCCAAAGATTGGTTATTTTATCTTCCCTCGGGGAGCATCAACACATGGGCTCAAATGAAGAAGAGTTTCCTTGACAGGTACTATCCCGCATCTATCTCTTCAAGTCTCAAGAAACAAATAAGCAACATTGAGCAAGCAGATAATGAGACCTTGTATGAATATTGGGAGCGCTTTAAAAAATTATGTGCTAGTTGCCCATATCATGGATATTCAGAACAAGATCTCATCCTCTACTTCTATGATGGACCTGTTGATCAAGATAGACGCATGGTGAATGCGGCATGCGGAGGGGGTATTGTCAACAAAACCCCTTCTCAAGCAAGAGACCTCATTTCGGAGTTGGCCGAAAACTCGAGACATTACAACGGAAGGTCATCATCGAGACGAGTCATGACAGCGGAATCCAACAATTCGTTGGAAAGTCAAGTAGCCGGCTTGACTTCTTTGGTTAAAGATTTCCTTTTAAATCCAAAAACCCAAGAAGTCAAGGTCTGCAGCATCTGTTCCACGCAAGGGCATCCCACAGATTCTTGCCCAACGCTACAAGAAGAGAACTCCGAGCAAGTCAATGCTTTGGGGTTCCAAGGTCAAAGGAGGTACGATCCTCAAGGAAATACTTACAACTCGGGATGGAGGGATCATCCGAATTTAAGGTACGGAAATTCTCAAACAAATCCTCCCCCTCAACAATACAAACCCCAAGGCCAAACATCGAACTCGAGTATGTCCACCGAAGACATGATTCGAGCGCTGGCCGTTAATATGGGAACAATGCAGCAAAGCATGGGGCAATTCGAACAAACAATGATGCAATTTCAACATGAAACCAAGTCGAGCATTCAAAATTTGGAAACTCAAGTTAGCCAAATTTCAAATGTCGTAAGTCGACTTGAAGCAAAAGATTCGGGTAGGCTCCCCTCCCAAACTGAGCAAAACCCGAGACAACATGTCAATGCAATCATGTTGAGGAACGGTAAAGAATTGCAACCACGGGAAGTTGAGGAGGAGAAGCGAGAGGTTGATCTTGAAGAAGGCTTCCAACAAGAAGAGGAGAAGCCAACGAAGACTAAATTCCCTCCACTGTCATCATATGAACCACTCCCTCCATTCCCTGATGCATTGAAAGACACGAGGAAGCTGAAGAATGATCGGGACATCTACGAAACATTCGTCAATTCTGAGGTAAACATCCCACTCTTCAAACTGATCAAAAGTGTTCCCCGTTATGCAAAGTTCTTAAAGGAACTATGCACAATGAAAAAGAAAAATAAACTGGAAGGGAAACAAAAAGTTGAAGTGAGTGAACGTGTCTCGGCCATTTTTAAAAAGAAACTCCCTGAGAAATGTAGCGATCCAGGCATGTTCACTATTCCTTGCAAACTAGGGGATACCTTATTTTCTAAGGCCTTGTTGGATTTAGGAGCGTCAATAAATGTCATTCCTTTTTCCTTATATAAATCCTTACAACTCGGCCCACTACATCAAACTGGTGTAGTGATTCAACTAGCGGATCGGTCTAATACTTACCCGAAGGGTGTAGTAGAAGATGTGCTAGTAGAAGTAGAAAATTTGATTTTCCCTGTTGATTTTTATGTTCCGGAAATGGGAGATGATAACCAAACTACACCCATCCTCTTGGGTAGGCCTTTTCTGAAAACCGCAAAAACAAAAATAGACGTGGCTAATGGTTCATTAACTTTAGAGTTTGATGATCAAAAGGTAGAATTCAACATTTTGGATTCTACGAAAAAACAAATTCAAGACCAATCTCTTTGTGGTCTAAATGTTTGTGAACCACAAACCCCGAATATTTTTGTTGAGAAGAAAAATGAGAATATCAAACTTTTTGAAAAAGAAGAATTATTCAAATTTTCAAAGAGAGAATGGATCCCACCTGGGATTGAAGTGATACCGGGAAAGAAATCCCGGCCTTACTGGAGAAGGCCAAAAAGGAAAAATGAAACAAGGGATGTTCACGATCCCACATAAAAACAAAAAAAAATATAAACTAAAAATAACGTCGTGCCGCGACATTAAATCAAGCGCTTCTTGGGAGGCAACCCAAATCTTTATTTTTAATTTCATTTTTTTTATCAGTTCGTGTGTTTTAATTTTTTTTCAAAAAAAAAAAAAAAAAAAGAGCCTGGGCTGAAACCCGGCCGGGTATCCCAATCAGCCCGGTCGGGTTTACTAATAAAAAAGGAACACCCGGGCACAAGGCCACCGGGTTGCTAGCAAAAACAAAAAAAAAAACATATACCCGACCGGGGCCTTCCACAAACCCGACCGGGTATGCACATATTTTTGGCTCTGAACACACTGGAATGCATACCCATTCGGGTATTTCTGAAACTCGGGCGGGTACGAATTTATTTTTTTAAAAATCATAAAGACCCGACCGGGTACCATAAAGCACCCGACCGGGTACGCATTCCAGTAGGGACTGGATAGCAGAACAAGTTACACCCGACCGGGCACACCACTTCACCCGGCCGGGCTACCGAACTCAAAACTTTCTGCCAGGGAAAATAGCGTTCACCCGACCGGGTAAACTACCCCACCCGACCGGGTGAATGGGAAATCAGCACTTTACCAGGTCGGGCTCACCCCTTCCCCTCCCACTTCTTCTTCCTCCCAACTCCAAAATTCCCAAAATCCACCATTTTCAAACACCCAAACCTTCGAATCTCCCCATTTCCTTAACCAAATCCACTAAAAAACCCCATTTTCTTCATCTCCTCACTTCCCTCTCCATCTCTATACCCATAAAATCCCCCAAAACCCTCCCAATCAACAAAACTAAAAAAACCCTACCCAAAATTCGAAATCCCCATTCTTGGACATTCAAGGTCCGAAATCTCCCCAAAAATCCTC